TATCAATTAATTGATATTACAATTTTTTCATTACATTAAAACTATTTGAAAAAATAACAAATTATATATATATATGTGTGTGTGTGCTACATGTGTATATCTATAGATAGATATCTCGTTTCCTTGATAACTCAAGTTTTATCATTTTACTTGATCAAAAAAGGTTTCTTAACGATCGGATATCGATTTTTCTTTCTTTCCGATTGAAAAAGACGGATCTAACGAAAAATATCCTACATCCTCAACATCCGCACTTATATTTGAAAGAATTTACAGCCCAATTTAATACTTCCTTTTTTTATCTATCACACGTTCTTACTTATTTCACAAAATATATATTTCTCTCTGAAGTAACGAATAATAATTATTATTTTGTTTATCGATTATAATAATTAATACCAAAAAAAAACGTGTAATATCTCACCAGTGGTGTAATTCAATTTTTATTCAATTTTTTTTTATTTTACACGCGTGTGACGTTACATCAATTTTGTTGTTGTGTGTAAATCCATCAGATACACACACACACACACGAGTGCAGTGTTTATATGACAATAGAAGCCAGTGTATACGATCTTCGATTTTCTTAAAAGCTCATCCTTGGGAAAGAAAATTAGATTTCAGCGCGAGTTTGATCGTCAACGATGAAATCCTCTTTCCACTTTTCTAAACGAAGAATGCCAGCCCAAGGCGAATCTCATTCGCCAGTCCCATCAGCTTAAAATACAAGGGCGTTTTTGTTTTACTCATGCAAAATAATCTCGGCTCGCTTAACCCTCGCTACAAAATTTTCTAGAGACCTTGATCCTAAAGTATGATATATAATTTATTATATATGTTACCGTCGAAGCCAGAAATCAGTCATTGCTAGTAATTCCTCGGAATTCTCATCAATGCAAAGAGCATTCCGATGAAGTCAGAAACAGAAGAATTCTTACAGTTTTTCCTAAGCATTGAATATAATACTTTGATATTCTATAGATAGTAATAATTCTATAAATAATATAAGAGTCATTTAAATCTGTCCACTCTTAGTATAAAAAAATTTTACAGAAACTATTCAAAGAAATATCAGAGATTGCAATGCTGAAAATTGTACAATTTTGTAATTTCTTTGAAAAGTTTTGGTAAATATTTTTTATATTAAAAGTGAATAGGTTTTAATGAAACTTATATTAAATTAAAGTATACTGTTTTGTCTACGCGTAGAATATTATATCGAGTTATAAATTTAGCATAAAAAGTTCAGAAAATGTCAGAGAATGTAATGCTGTAAATTGTGCATCTTTGCTATTTCTTTGAAAAGTTTTGGTAATTATTTTTTATACTAAAAGTGAATAGATTTTAATGAAACTTATATTAAATTAAAGTACACTCTTTTGTCTACAAGTAGAACACCATATCGAGTTATAAATTTAGCATGTAAAGTTCAGAAAATGTCAGAAAATGCAATGCTGTAAATAGTGCATTTTTGCAATTTCTTTGAAAAGTTTCGGCAAATATTTTTTATACTTAGAGCATACAGATCTTAATGATTTTTATATTAAATTAAAGTGCACAAATTTGGCTACACGTAGAGTACTTTTTCGCGGTATAAAATAATCTACAAAGGTTCATAAAATGGCAAAGAATGCGATGCTGCAAATATTTCCTACTTTGCCATTTCCTTAAAATGTTTCGGCAAATATTTTTTATACTTTTTGCAAATGGATTTTAATAAAACTTATATTAAATTAAAGTGCACTCTTTTAGCTACACGTAGAGTACATTTTCGCATTATAAATCAATCTGCAAAGGTTCAAAAAATGGCAAAGAAAAATTAGCGGATTAGGCAATGTGAACAATGCCTAAAACCAGGCATTGTTAACAATACCGGCCTAGGTTCCAAACCTCCCCCGGCAATGCTAACAATGCCTGGCCTTAGGCATTATTCACATTGCCTAATCCGCCAACTTTTCTTTGCCATTTTTTGAACCTTTGCGAATCGATATATAACTTAAATTTGTATTCTACGTGTAGATAAAAGAGTGCACTTTAATTTAATATAAAAATCATTAAAATCCATTTGCTAAAAGTATGAAAAATATTTGCCAAAACATTTTAAAGAACTGGCAAAGTAGGAAATGTTTTGCAGCATCGCATTCTTTGCTATTTTATGAACCTTTGAAGATTGATTTATAACTCAATAAGAAACTCTACGTGTAGCCAAAAGAGTGCACTTTAATTTAATATAAAAATCATTAAAATCCATTTGCTAAAAGTATAAAAAATATT